TGCTGAGGTATTAGGAAGACATGATTATGGATGATCTGATCACAGCTGTGATAGCACAGTGTTAAAAGAAAAAAAGACAAAACATTATTGCTAGGTAAGCATGGAACAGCTTAAATACAGAGAGGGATGAAGTGATTGATGGGAACAATCTCACGGATTACTGCTTTGGCACGAAGATTCTCATGTTCAGCCAGCTTGCCAAATAAATTGACCAGAGAAAAAGAAAGTCAACAGATTAACTTCAGGAATTAAGCTTATTAATGGATTTTCATGCAGAAATGTATCCACCCACCATGATAGGAAAAGGCTTCCTTTGCTTTCCCAGCTGCTACATTATACATTAAAATATTTCAACATAAATTGCTGATGGGATAGAGACTTTTTTCCTTTTTAAATGAGTGTTCACTGACCTGAGGCAATGTTGTACTATATCCATTAATGTTGAGCTGATTTATATTTGAACTAGAACAAGTTGTTTGATTTAATCATGAACTGAATATATTTAAATATAGATTGTTCATCTTCACAGCCTTCTCTCCTCTTTTCTCTTCTTTTATTTAGAGTAAAATTTCACTGCTCCATCCATAATTTAAGAACATGCAAGGAGGTAATTGGAATTGGAGGTAAATTACATTCTTTTATAGAAAGTGTAATTATCAGAAGTTAGTTGAAAACACCTCTGTTCTGTTTTAATTTAAATGCATGGAGCAGTTGTTTTGACAGATGGATGGACTTTATTTTTGTAACTGTCCGGGAAGAGTCTTTGTAACACACTCTAATCAGTGCTGCATATTTGTGATGTTTGTTTTTGAATCACTGTGCATTTGGCTTCTATATCCTTTTCTGGGGGTAGACATTTTCTTTCTAAGTTATTTTTCCAGGCTAATATCTCTGTGTGTAATTCCTCTCTACATTTGACCTGAAGGCACTAGAAACTCTTAAAAAATAAGTGTAAATGGTTTGTCACTAAGGATGATGAATCATTGGGCTTCATGTGTGGCCTTGGGTTTGCTGGTTTATAACTGCCTTTACTTTTACTACTAGGCTAAGTTAACAATTTATAGTGCTGTTGTTCTGGAGTACATTTCAGTAAAATAAGAGCTCAGTATGGTTGCCTGGCTCTCGGGAAGCCAACTTGGGGCTAAACTTGTCGTGTGTGTATCAACTTAAATTCCAAAAAGGATCCAGGTTTGAAAAATGAATTCATTTTGAACTGATTACATTCTCTTTATTACGTTGTAAATCCACCAGTGCTGAGCAAAGCAGTGCAGTAGTTGAATGCCAAAAAGTACATTACATTCTGAGTTTTAAGAATCGTCACGGTTCAAGAAAAGGTCAGAAACACTCTTCTTCTGTCTCCCTAGAGCAGAAATGTGTGAAGTGTGTTTCTTTTTTCTGCCATGCTTCCTTTTTTTTTAGAGGAATGTCCAGGCTGCTTCCAAATAAAATGAATATCCCGTTTTGGAACACTCAAAAACCTTGGCAGCAATAAGCTGGAGAATGAAGGCAAATGAATGACAGGGATTGATACTCTTTTATGTAGGTTTTCTATTTAAAGAACAGTCATTACTCACAATGTCTCTTTCAAGTTTTGGGTTCTTCTCTGTGCAGTTCTTTTAATCCACTGTTTCTTCCTAAATTGTTATTGATGAGTTTCCTTGCAGCTATTTTAAACCAATTTTGAAAGTATTTCATTCAATTTCTTTGTTTCAGTTCAGGTGTCTTAACATACTCTCTAAACCCCAGAAATTTCTCTCCATTCTATTTGCATCAACCTTCACTTCAAAATAATGTTGAGCTAGCCCCCAGGCACAGAGACAGTACAACCTGCTGTCACCTGGGAAAGTTCACTGGGAAAATCATTCCAGGCCTCAGGCCAGTAGGCTGGGTCTAGCTGCTTTGTAGGACAGATAGAATCTTTATCAACATTCTCAGTAGAACCCTTTGCCAGGTTTCACAACTATAGTCCTGTGATTTTTTCCAGCAGCTCTGTAGAGGAATAGTTGTCATATCAGAGTGGTGCTTCTTTGACAGTTAATAGAGAACAAAATAAAATTAAGATATTCAGTGTGGCTCAGTTCCCTAATTCTCAAGAATCCTGAGAATTTTTCAGTCAATAATTATTGCTAATCAGTTGCCCAATCTATGAGATAAGAACCCACAGATTCTATAATCTTAGAATTCATAACAGTTGCAGAAGTGACATAGCCTTCATTTGTATGCACAAGTATCTGCGCTCATGAAATATTCCCTTCCTTTTTTTTTCCTTTATTGCAGAGAACTAGGGTCTATTCTCAAATTTCTAGGATGCCCTGAGGTGTTAGTAATGAGATTAGAGAAATTGGGTTTGTATTTTAAATTCCCTGCATATCTTTATAGGTATGACTGTGGGCAAACTAAAACCCTGTTCTTTTCTAAAATGAACAATACATCCATCTGGGTGTGCCACTACTCTTTATTAGAATATTCGTTTGCTTACCAATATGTGTGTGCACATCCAGTTTCTTAATTTCAACATATGGTGCTGGAACTGGTTGTTTATAATCTTGAATGCTGTAATACTGAGTCCACTGTCATGGATAGCTGTCTTTACGTAAAAGCAGAGTATGTGACCACCTACATGTTTCAAAGAAAGAGGTGCCGTAAAACATCTTCCTGAAAATGACTCATTTCCAAAGGACTGCATTTTCTTAAGAGTACAAGGTTAAGTCCTTTGGGTAAGACTCATAAATGTCTTATTTGTAAATGAGTTTATCAGGTGTTTCCCTATCCACAGCCTCTTTCCTCTGCCCAAGAATCCATGCCCTATCCTCTTGGGGAAGGAGGAGAAACTGCTACAGAATGGGGAGTTTGTGACTAAAAGTCTTGGAAGTTAGGTTATATCTGAGCTTATCTAAGGTTATGTCTAAGATGTACCGTGTTCAAAGTGGTACATGGATAAGATGCGTGTACTCTTTAAGCTAGGAAATTTTTCTTCATAGGAAGTTGCAAAATCAGTTGATTTCAGTGCTTAATTTTCTATGTTATAATGCCTTGCCAGACAAAAGAAGGATTCAGGATCTAAGTAGCAAAACAGTGGGAGGAATTAGATGTGTATTTTAGTTACTCCCCTAAACTACTCAGCATATAATAAGGAAGCATGAGGAGTCGTAACTGGCAAGTTTCATATTTTTCCTTAAAAAGATCTGATTCACCTTTGGGATGATATGTTTATAGTTCATCCTCAGATGTCATCCTAGAAAAATCAGTGATGATGGAAAGCAAGTATTTGAATTTAAATAACAATTATTCTTCTCAGATTTGGTCTGCTCTTTATTTTATGGAGGCAATAAAGTTAATACCAAAATCATCAGCTACAATCACAGAATACAAGTGTCATGTGGAAATGTACTTAAATAATTGTAACACCTCAGTTATAAACACCAATGGACCACATAAGTCTAAATGTATTCTGAGCTTTCACTTGAAGAGTCATATGTTGTACAGAGTGACTTTGGGAGTGTTACACACTTAGAGGCGCAAGGACAAACCCAATCCACTGTTACGTTTGCCAGCATTACTTGCACTATAGTCTGCTTTTGATCTTTATCTGCATTTTTAGTTACATATTTGGCTCTTATTTATAAATGTTTAATAGGCAAAAACACAAAACTATGTGTATAAGAAAGTCTATGATCAATAACAATAATTTTCAATGTAATTATTATTTACCATATGAATACTCAATTGGATATTAAAAATGGGTATTGTATATTCCATGACAAACTCATATTTTCTACTTATATGTATTTAATTTTTAAGATTTTCTGTATGGTTAATAGACCATAACATTTTATTTGAAAATATTCTGATAGTTTGAATTTCTCTTTTCATTGTTTTATTTTTACAGTATTGATATGGACTCACCTATTTAAAAATAGTTGGCAAAAATTATGTCTTTTCTGCTCTGGATTTCTTTGGCAATAAAATTATCTAGTTTATATTTTGACTGTCTGATTTTTTCCCCTAAATCTTTCCTTAACAGGAACAAAAGGCTAAGATTCCTATTTGTTTGTAGAACTACATTTTCTTTCACAGGATCTATAGATATAATAGAGTATATAGAAAAAATATAAAGAGCTCTGTCCATTTATCTCTTAGGTGACATTTTATTTGGGTAATAAAATGGCAAGAATGTCTAAACTTCTATAAATAATAATAAGATATGACTATAATTCTCTCTTATAAGTAGCTGTTTTTTACCTGGGGGATCCATGACTCATTGGGCAGGGGATCCACGTATGGGTTTAGGATGTACGTGAACTGCATGAAAATATTTATTAATTATAGCCACTCTAATAAAGACCCTTCAGCCTATAGACATTCCAGACTCTAACACCTTCTCTATCTCATCTTACACCCAAATTGTCTTTGGGGGTTAAATGACTTTTTCAAGAGAAGGTGGTTTTGTCTTCTTAGGGTCTATAAAGCTCACTAGTAAGAAGCACTACTGAAGTTCAAAGTCAGTCACCCATCATTATGAGTTACTGATGATGTTTCAAATTCATATTTGATAGAAGGTTGTATTACCTTTTATTTTTGATTTTCCAAAATTAAACTCAGAGCTGACTTCTGAAATTTTCACCATTGTTATGATTTAAATAATTCATTAATTAACCATATAATTTGCTGTTTCCCTCATTTCTAGAAAAGTCACATATGATAATGGTTATCTATAACTTTATTCCACTTTTGTATAAATAAATTATAGTTTTAATAAAAACATTAAAGAGAATATTATATTTTGCCCCCCCAAAATAAGAACTTCTGTATTTCATGTAATAATGCAAGCAGACACCTTCTGTATTTCATGTAATAATGTGAGCAAACAATAGAATAATAAGCCCTAAAAATGATGTGAAAGGACACAAAAGAAATCTGTTCAAACATGCCTAGCACCCTAGAGGATACTTCAGCCATGCTGACCACTAGAACTCACTGGTTTTCCTTTTGTTTTACAGAAAGAATGTGCTAATTTCATCAAGGTGCTTAAGGCTTATAATCAAACTCACTTGTACGCCTGTGGAACGGGGGCTTTTCATCCAGTTTGCACCTACGTTGAAATAGGACATCATCCTGAGGTAAAGCTGGCTTTTAAAAAACGGTGTTTGTCCATGACCCCTTCCTATTCAAATGCTTCATTACTAATTTCTTCAGTTCATTTAGCTTCTAGTTGCTATTCATTGCGACCTACTTCGAATTCAGATGCTGTTATTAATTTTAATCTGTGAATGCAAAAAGAATGAGACCATCACTCAACAATAACTGTGGAACAGGAGGAAGGAAGGAAGCATTTGCTTTTGCTCTGGATTACAGAGTCCAATCCATTTTGCATGTGCAGCAGATGTCAGCAGGCTGAATGTGTACTGTTTTCTCCTTCATTTGTATATTGCCAGCTTTTCCCCTCCATTTCCATCCTTAGCCAGAAGTGTCTGCCACCGCAGTTGTTTTCTTCTGCCCAGAGATTAAGAAAGGATGCCATACATGTGCACAATGATCTGATCTCATGTTTGACCTAAATTACTCACATTTATGTTCTTGCTTAGCTAGGCTTTGTTTTTATATTTTGGGCTATTATTTTGTCAGTATAAAAAAGGAAAAAAAATGTTTATTTGTCTCTTACTCCTACAAGACGTTTCACTGAGAAAATTTAGTGAGGAAATTAAAGTTAGGGAAATTTTAAGTACAACTTGCAATTAGGGATGTATTTAAAGGAAAAGTTACTAGTAGGAAAGCAGTTCCATGAATTGGATTTATCAATAGCCTTAAATTATAAGCCCTTTTATTATTTTTGGCACAAAATCCTAAGAAGAACAAAAGTGTTCATGTGGTGAGAAAATCATTTGTGACAGAATTTTCTTTCAGACTGGAATTCAGAAATACTCAACAGATAAAGAATTTGTTCCCAGAATATTTCTGGAATCCTAAAGATAAAATATAATTTACATGTTAGCCACTTCTTTATAACTTAAACTCTAGAGCCTTTCTTTATATTTTCTTAATGGGTACAAAAGTATTACAAATATGTTGTTTCAACCCAAAGACTTAGAAATCAAAACAGTTTGTGTTGTGCCTTCTTTGTATAAGAAGACACCTTCGAGGCTATGTGGTTTCTAGACTGAACACAATTATTATGACTTTCCTGATGATCCTGGGAAGATAAAAACCCTTTACGGGGCTTCCCTGGTGGCGCAGTGGTTGAGAGTCCGCCTGCCGATGCAGCGGACGCGGGTTCGTGCCCCGGTCCGGGAGGATCCCACATGCCGCGGAGCGGCTGTGCCCGTGAGGGGCCACAACAGTGAGAGGCCCACGTACCGCAAAAGCCAAAAAAAAAAAAAAAAACCTTTACCAGGGTCTCACCGGCGTAGACAGTTGCCCTCATCAGCCTCTTCTCCCATTGCATCCTTCTTCCTTCCTTTACAAGCATGCATACTGTTCTTGCTGACATACCCAAGAGTTTTAAGTAAAAATTAACTTTAAGGAAGGGCAGTTCCACTTAAATTACTTGTTTCATATTGATGAAATTAGGAATAATTTCCTGCACACGGTCCTGGATACTTTGCATACTTAACTTTTCAGTAACTTCTGGATAAATCTCTCCCTCTTTCTTTCCTTCTCAGCTATTTCCTATAGTCAGGCACCCTAAAATTGGGTCTCACTTCTCTGTTTACTGGAGACAGCTCTGGAGAACCTTCCCCATGTCGTATTGCACTTTTTACATCTGCCAGGCATCATGCTGTATAAGACAGTGGGGTCCGGACAGCTGAGCTCCAAGCACAGGTTGGTGGAAAAGATACAGGCTTTAGGGACAGATCTGACTTCTGATCATGTTCGGCAACTTACTAGCTGTGGAGCACTGGAAAAATTACTTAACCTCTCTGAGACTGTCTCATAACATGTAAAAACAAAACAAACCTCAGCGATTCTCAGTGTCCATATGTTTTAAATGAGAACTTGACTTATTACCTCCAACTGCTTTCCAACCCTCCCAGTGGGGCGTGACCCACTGACATTTTTTGCTGTAGAAACTCAGGGAGTTCTAATCCCATCATTGTTAAAGGCAGGTCACCTGGCCTCACACTGCAGGGCTTTGGTCCAACCTCAATTCAGTACTGGATGCTTGATAAGGAGCAAGCTACTAACTTTCTTTGTGTCTTTGTTTCTACTCTAGAAAGTGGTAATGAGAATGGTCTCTACCTCATACAGTTGTTGTAAGAGTTTAATGTTGTCTAATAGGTAGCAGATACTGAAAAAAAAATGTGGATTATCATTTTTAAAATAGAAATGTGTATTTCAGGCTGAAAGCGGTTTCAGGGTTTATGGTGATAATTATCACCTTGCTGTTAAATGTACCTCTTTCATCAGAGGTTGTATGTTACTGCACTGGGCTCTCATTGTTGCCAGGTCATTCTGTACTTAGCTTAATTTCCTCCATTTTTAAATTTGAAGCTTAGATGATCTTGGTGGTCGTTTAAATTAAAATATCATATATTGTTCCTGTATTTTTACCATTTTCCCCAAAATGTAGTTTTGTTTTGTGCTTTTTCTTTTTGAAGTTGCTCTTTAGCAAAGTTCCTTCCTTCTCATCTCATCAACTACTTTATTGCTGCTTTATGGATGGGTGGGGAGATGCAGAGGTACAGCTTCTGGAGCCAGGCCATTTACCCAGGAAAATGGAGGAGGCCGTTTCCTCCACTGAAATAAATAAATAAAGCTTCCCATCTCCTTAAGGTGGGATATTGACGTACAAGTATTTTCCTGAAATCCTAAAACTCAGAACCTTTGAGAGAAGTCCTCCTTCAGAAGCTCAGTGATCTTGATTTGCATGGCAACTATACATGGGGAGATACTGTTCCAGACTGTTTAGGGGGTCAGAGGGAAAATGATTATGCAATTACCTGGGGGAATTTGGAGCAGTCTAGACAGTCAATCTGGGAAATTCTGGAAAAGATATTATCACGATGGCTTGTCTAGACAACATAAAATTTAATTTTCAATGCTTAAGCTGCCTTAAGAGAGAATCTGCTTTAAATTGATCTATATTGGTACTAAAAATACTACACTTGGATTTAAACATTTATGCTGTTTTTGAAGTTGAGAAAAAAGAGACAATATGTGCTTCATGCCGTTAGGAAAATAATGCTGGTAATGGAAAGATTGGAAGAATAAGAAATAAAATAATAATCAGGACTGAAGCCAGGATTGTTGGATAAGAGTTCATAAGGTCTCATGAAGTTTGAATTTAGTAACTTTTATTTACAAGGATGGATTTTCAGAAAGAACCAAGACAAATCTTTCTCCTGTATTCTGGTTGAAAAGTAGCATGTATACTTTGCTGTTCCTGCCCCGTTCTACATAAAATAGTGAAATAGTTTACTTTTTAAACTTCTGTCCAGGCTTTACATATTACAAATAATTTTATCATACAAAAAAGGACATTTTGCTTTTTGCTTTTATCATGAATTCATGGACATTTTAACATCCAGTTTTTTCTTTGCAGTGCTCTTCCTTTAAAATAACTCTTTGTCTTACATTGAGTCCCCAAGATTGTTGAAATTCATTGTTAGAAATTATGGACTTACCATTCCAGATGGCTGGATGCCACAAAAGACATCACTTTTGAAACAAAGCAAGACATCCTTCATCATTTAATAGCTTCAGATCTTATACGAGGAAATAGCAATTCCTTTTAAATAATCATGAACAGTTTGCAAAAAAAAGAAAAAACCTTGTTTAGTCTTCTAATTATGAAAATAGACCCAATTTTGCTCTTCTAGCATTTTAATAGCAATATTTAAACTTCTGAATACTGTATTCCAAAACTACTCTTGCTGTATGGTGAATGCCTTATGACCACACACGGTATGTCATTTATTGCTGTATTAAGCAGATTTTGTGTTTGTGTTTCCTGTAGTACAATTGGGAATTGGTAGGCCTATTAATTAACTCCAGTTCTATAAGATGCGTCAGTCAATTCTTGGTTATCCTCCAGTAGTACTTGACATTGCAGATAACTCCCAGTGAGGTCACATGCTCCATACGCATGTGTGTGTTTATTATTAAAATGCATGCAGAATTCACGGAAGGAATGATTCAGAGCTAGAGTACAGATGAGTTTTGTGTTTAAGCTTTCAGCATCCATGCCATTCAAATGAAAAGTGTAAGTCATCCTTACGAGACAGAATATTCCCAAAAGGCTTATAGTATATGGTATTTCCCTTTCAAATTTACATCTGTTAATAAAAAAAAATGTATGAATTTAGGAGGAGGATAGCTTTTCGAAGAAGTGTCTGGATGTTTTCTCACATTCTAAACGGGCCTCCTCCTTGTACTGGGAAGGAAATCTAAAGAAAGATGGACCCAGATGAGAGCTGGAAAATATTAACTCTATAAATACTCTCATAATGTCATGATCTCAATTTATGATAGAACCAAAGGGACATTAAGAAATGCAGTGAAGCTTAATGGCTATCTCTAAGGTCATTTCTGCAATGACAACTAATATATCAAGATGTAAAATAAAATGTTTTGTCTGGTTCTTCTCTTCCACCAAGAATAAGAGTTTGCTTTCATGTAAAACTTTGAATCACATGCTCTTAGTAACAGTCTCCAGGTCCAAATACTACTTAAGTTGGTGGCTAGTGCTCTGTCGACTAATTTATACATCTAATCTAACTTTTTCTAATTGAGTTATCTCTCTCAGTGTATTATGTCATTGAGTCCAATAGAGTCCAAGTTTATTTCTAAGAGGAAATGCTAAAGCTAAGAAATTTAGATATCTTGGTAAAGCAATGAGGCGTTGTTTTGGGGTTGGTTACATCATCCCATCTTTCTTAGATCATGTCTTGGAGTCTGACTTTTCCCACTTATGTTAGTAGGTTAGGTGGGAAAAGTCAGGATTCCTTGGTGATTTATCCTCGGCTTCATCATTTCCACCAGAGGCAGTGTGTCCCTCATTTGCACTCTCAAACTGAGCCAAGCGTGGTTAGAGCAAGACCATTATGGTTTCCAGGTTTTTCTTCCCTAATCTTTCAATACTTGAATCATGTTGGAAGGTGGACCATACAAGTTACCATGCTGA